TGTTTTGTTTCAGCTCCGACCTACTCATGCGTCGCCTGAGCCGTCCTGGTCCTTGATCAGGGTGCCCTCTTATCTTCTCCTCAGTTTGTGGTAACCCCTTCGGTTGAGGTTTCTGCTCTTTGGTATTGGTTGTAGATTTGTACGTTTGCAGCCTTGCTCCATCCTTCTGGCAACGGTCGAGACGGCTACTTTCCGGAGGGGTTCTTGGGTTATTGATGCTTGATTGGTTTGGCCGGGGGTGCGTCCTGTACTGTCCGGTTGCGCTATTTTGCCATTACCTGCGTACCGTGTCTGGGGATGCGCTTTGGGTTGATCCGGTTTCCCTTGTTCCCTGTTTCAGGGCTCGGGTCTCCCAGGTCACCCGCAGAGTTTTTAAGTCTTCCAGCCTGCGGTCTGTCCTTGTGCCCATGCTGTTCGGACGTTTGCAGCTTTTGCTGCTGTGTTGGTGATGTCTAGGGCTCATTTCGGGCGCAGGGATTTGAGGGTCGCACAGGTTCTTGGCTGCCTATTCTTTATCCCTGTAAGTGCGCATCACTTCATATGAAGTGTAAATCGTTTTACCAGTCAACTGCGCTTCACTTCATATGAAGTGTATGGGTACCGCGCACGATTTGAATGGCCCGCGGTGTAGCTGGGGGTCCCATACGCTGCCCAGGGGCTCTAGTAAACAGCGGCCATTTTGAAAAAAATCCAGCTCACGATTCGATGGCATGGGAGGCCTCAGTTTAGCGAGAGTCACCATGGCGAGCGCACGGTCAAACGCCTCACGGGCACGCACCACTCAGTCCCTCACCCCAGAGCAAATAGCCCACGAATTATTCTCTGAAGGTGAAGAAAGTGTGTTTGACGATTCAGACAACGATGAGGATTATACACAGTTGTCGGGTGATAGTAGTAGCAGCAGCAGTGAAAGTGAGAATGACCGCCATGCCATGGCGAGGCCTATACGCTCTCCCATGCCTCCTCGCCCATTTTCTACCCCAATTCTACCACGACCTCACAGTTCCTGTGGATATTTTGTGTTTGAGGGTGACGAGTCAGAGGGAGGTGACTCCTTTTCTGGGTTTAGTGACTCAGATCAAAGTTTTATTGAGCCTGTGGCTGGTACCAGTGGTGTAACTGGGCGAGAAATTGTCGCGTCAGCAGCATCTCGCCCGGCCAAGCGCCACCGCATGGCACCACATGAGGGACCAAGACCCTCGTGTTCACGTGCACCCACCTCACGTGCACGTAGCCGCCGTGCTTCTCGCAGACGGTATTCAGCTCCTGGTCGCCGGTATGCATCGCTTCCTCGCCGTCTTTCCTCTGCATCTCGCAGGACGCCTGGTGTACTTGAGTGGAGTGATGGTGACGATTTTATTCCTAATATTCCTCACTTTGACGATAAAGATGTAGGGATTACAAACCTTTTCCCTAATCAAGGTGAGGACATGGCTGAGATGGAATATTTTACAGCATTCTATGATGAACCACTCATGGAATACATTGTACACCAAACGAACCTGCATGCTGCTTACCTGATTGAGAGGGAAATCACAGAATTTTCACGACTGCAGCGTTGGAAAAATACCACAGTGGCGGAAATGTATGTGTTTTTGGCACTCTGTTTGTTGATGAAGCACTGTCACAAACATGCAATAAATGACTATTGGAGCAAGGACAAGACAATACCAACACCTTTATTCGGGAAATATATGTCACGAGACAGGTTTCAGATACTCCTCAGGTGTCTACATTTTGGAAGTGTTCAGGACCGAACACCTGATGATAGACTGTGGCGAGTGAGGCACTACATGAACGATGTTATTGGAAAATTCAGAGATTTTTACGTACCAGCACAGAAGCTGGTGGTTAATGAATCTCTCATACTTTTCAAGGGACGTGTTCCATTCAAACAGTACATTCCCTCAAAACGAAACCGATTTGGCCTGAAATTTTTTGTTCTTTGTGATTGTGAGACAGGATACGTGTTACACATGATTCTGTACTCGGCTAGTGATGTAGACATTCCCGGTAACGACGAACATGGATTCTCGGGGAGTGTAGTGAAGACCATCATGGCTCCATGGATGAACAAGGGACACATTTTATACACAGATAATTACTATACAAGTCCCTTGCTAGCTCGGTTCTTGCTAGAAAATAGAACCGGATTGGTTGGTACAGTAAAGCCACAACGAAGGGAAATGCCTGTGTTTGACAACGACATTGCAGTTGGTGAGTGTCAGAGAAGGAAAAGTGATAACATTCTGTCAGTTCGGTGGAAAGACAAAAGAGAGGTGAACTTGTTGACAACAATTCATGATGGAACAATGGTGAACAGTGGGAAAGTGAGCCATAAAACAAATGCACCACTATATAAGCCAGACTGTGTTTTAGACTATAATATCAACATGCGGTTGATTGATAAATCAGACATGATGATTGGCACTGCAGAGTGTGTGCGGAAGACATGTAGGTGGACGAAAAAAGTGTTCTTCCATCTTGTGGACATGAGCATGCTGAACTGTTTCAACATGTACCTTGTGAGAACTGGACATAAGCCCACTTTCCGTGACTTTGTATTTGATGCTGCAATACAGTTATTAGGAAAGTTTGCAAAAGATGTCCCAGGTATTCAGCGGCCCATCATAAACCCACTGTTGCAGCATGCTGGTACTCCACGCCTCGCTCACACTGAAGGCTTCCTAGCACACAAACTTAAGTATTTGCCACCTGGTGTGAAGCGTGCAATAGCCCAACGTGATTGCTTGGTGTGTAAAACAACGACACGTAGAGACAAGAAACGGAAGCTTGTGCAAACTTGGTGTGAAACGTGTGGTATCCCATTATGTGCTGTCGACTGCTTCAATGACTACCACAGTCTAGAAATCTTCTAAGTGTGCTTCAAAGTGTGTATAGCGTGTGCGAGTGTGTAAATATGTAAACATATAAGCAGATAGCATGTGCGTGTGTGTAAATATATACAAATATAAGCAGAACATACAATATAATAGACTGTAATGACATATTATATTGCCGTAATTGAAAACATTTGTGTGCGCCTGTGTATACTCAAATATGCAACAATTATTGATACAAAATATGTTCAAACAGTATTTGAAACACAATTAGTGAAAAAAAATTAGATAAAATACGCTTAGACATTGTAAATAAATAGCGCGAAAATATATTTGTGGCAACTCTGGCTGTTTGAGGACCGCGCTCAACATCCCCCGGGCATGTACTGCATGAGCGAACATGCAGATTGTGACGTCATCACCGAGCTTCTCGGCTCTATTGCAACAAAAGTAAGTACAATAGAATTTTTTTTTTATTTTTCCCGTGATCAGTGAACAGAACTTAACAGATTAGCAAAAAAAAAAATTTTTTTTTTTTTCAAAATGACATGCGCCTGTGTGGATAGCAGGATATTAGACCCCGAGCATGTTAAGGGTTATGCGCGTCTGCTCCTGTGCGTTCTTGTTGCCATGGGTTGCAGGTTGTAGCCTGTTGTCTCGGCTTCGCGTTGTGGAGTTTGTGGCAGCCGCCTCCTGGGTCAGCCCTTTCTTTTCCTTCTCTTTGGGTATGAAGCTCCAGGGAGCCGTAGGGGCTCCCCACAGAAAACTAGAGTTGAATGTAATGAAACGCCATTTTCTGGGTGAGCCCCGGAGGCTCCCTGGAACCCTCCCTTCCACCGGTCGGCGTTTTTTTCGCGTTGGTTAAAGCTTAACTTCCGAACTGATGCTAGGCAGCCGGCGCTGTAGGTCCGGGGCTCCCCTCTCCCCCCTCTCGGGGCGGGGAGGGCTGCTTGGACGATCAGCACGGCAGTAAAGTGTGATGTTTGCTTATTTGCTTGTTTCCTTGGGATTGTAGGGAGTTTCTTCCTCTCTGTTCATTTTTTTGTTTGTTTTTTACCATGTGGGGTTTGTTTTGTTTTGCCTACCTTTCTGGGTGCAAACCCCGGTCGATGGCAGATAAGGAAAACCCCAACCAGAAGAGGGTTTTCCAGGGCCATTGCTCCCTGAAACCTCTCTGAATGGGTCAGGTTCTGGCGCTGGTCCCTGGTAGGTCTGAACTCCTTAGCTAATGTCCCTGTCTAATGTAACATACATTAACCCGATAAGCTCCAAGGAGCCTCCGGGGCTCACCCAGAAAATGGCGTTTCATTACATTCAATGCTGGTTTTTTTTTGGCGAAGAATGTGGCAACCAGTTACCGGAGGGGCTTTTGCTTGTGAATGATTGCTTGGTTTGGCTGGGGGTTCCTATCTCTCTTTGTCCGGTGGTGGCTTTCCAGCGCTGCCTTTGTACTGCTGGTTTTGCTTTGGTGGGCACTTTGTTGGTTGTTCTGGTTTTCACTGGGACCCTTTCCAGGGCTCGTGTGTCTGGTACACAGTTTGTTATGTTTATCCAGTCTGCAGTCTTCCCTTGTCCTCGTGTTTTTGTATGTGTGTCACTGTTGGCTGTTTTTACATGTGTGAAAAGCAAGGTCGTAAAATTTTATGCAGTTCCCGTGGCGCAGTGGTAAAACACTCGCCTGACACTTCGTGAGGGGTTTGGCATGGGTTCGTTTCCAGGCTGGTGAGGATTGGCTAGGCACCAATCCTTGACTGTAGCCTCTGTTCATCCAGCAGTGAATGGGTACCTGAAGTTTTGGACATATATTCAGGCATGAGGGTTTTTGGTGTAAGGGTTTGTTGTTGCCCCTGGTTTTTCAGTGGCTTTGTGTTAACCTGGGGTGTTTGTGTCACCTCTTGATCTCACCTGTGGGTTGTTTACTGCAGTGTTTTTGCCTCTCTGTTAAGTCCCCTGTTTTCCTTGCTCTGTGGGTAGGGAGGTGGAGCCTCAGGGAGCCTCCAAGGCTCACCCATAAACTGACATTTCATTAAATTAAATGCATTATTTTTACACATGGTCATAAGGAGTATTAAATCTGATCACATTAATGATTTATTCTGTAATATGAAAACTTTAGGAAAACATTAACAAACACAAATTATTTATACATTTATGTTTCAGAAAACCAAAGCAGTGTGTTGTGGTGTGCAGAGAACTATCCACACCTGCACTCACCTCTGTCCCCCTGCATAACCCTGCAGTGGACACGGCGCGATGGTCACACAGTCAACCTTCCTTGGTCACTCCTTGTGCGAGGAGATATCATTTTTCTGAAACCTGGACAGAAGGTGCCTGCAAGATGTAAACCCTTGCAGGTAAGACAGTAGCAGCAATTTGTGATCTTACCACAAATAAGTAAACACACATAAGGGAAGACTGTAATCGATTGGCATATTTTGAGCTCTATTTAATTTTGTGAAAAATTATCTTTAAATCCTTCCTCTCCCCATCATATCTCTGAAATAAATTGCAATACTGTGTCAATGCAACCTTTAAAATCTGGAACTCCAAATAATCAAATTCTCTAAATAGCTGACAGATCTTCCTAATGATCGAATTCTCCAAAATTCAAATACAGCTCTGGACCCACAAAAACAATTGCTAAGAAATAGTCATTTCAAAATAGTCAAATAGGCTATAATAGTCAAATAGGCTATAGTCATTTCTAGTTCATCTTATTGTTTAGTATTTTCTCTATTCATTTGTTTTTAGTACAGTAGCAAATAATAATAAAAAACCAGCGTTAAATGTAATGAAACACCATTTTCTGGGTGAGCCCCGGAGGCTCCCTGGAGCTTATTGGGCTAATGCATGTTATATTAGACCGGGATATTAGCTCAGACCTACCAGGGACCATGAGCCAGAACCTGACCCCTTCAGAGAGGTCGCAGGGAGCAATGGCCCCTGGAAAACCCCCCTGTGGTTGGGGTTTTTCCTTATCTGCCATTGACCGGGGTTAGGTACCCAGAAAGGTAGGCATAACAAAACAAACCCCCACATGGTAAGAAACTAACAGCAAAAGCCGAACAGAGAGGTAGAACTCCCTACAATCCCATGGAAAGAAGGAAAGAAGCAAACGTAACGCATTACTGCAGCGCCACTCGTCCGCACAGCCCTCCCCTCCCCAAGAGGTGGACGGGGACAGGGCCCGGGGCTCACCGCGCTGACTGCATAGCACTCCAATTCGGAAGCTAAGCTTCAACAAACACGAAAAAAATGCCAACCAGTGGGAGGGGCTCACCCAGAAAATAGCATTTCATTACATTCAACGCTGGTGTTCTGTGGGGAGCCCCTACGGCTCCCTGGAGATTCATAAGAAAAGACTGACCCGGGAGGTGGCCGCCACAAACTCTGCAACACGAAGTTGAGACAACATACTGCAACCAGCGACCCAAAGCAACACCAGAATGCCCAGGAGCAGACATGCTCAGAAAATAATGGGCGGCCAGGAACTTGTATGACCTCCAAATCCCTGCGCCCGAAATGAGCCCAAGACACGTTACCAAACACGGGAGCGAAAGCTGCAAACGTCCGAACGGTACGGGCACGAGGATAGACCGCAGGCTGGCTAGACTTAACCCTGCGGTCGACCTGGAAGACCCAAGCCCTGGAACAGGGAACGACGGAAACCGGATCAACCCCAGCCACGGCACGCAGGTAACGGCAAAGAGCCACAACTGGACACAACACATGACGCCCCCCCGGCCGAACCAACCAAGCATCAATGACCCAAAGACCCCTCCGGAAAGCAGCCGTCTCGACCTTCACCAGAAAAGACAGAGAAGGCTGCAAACATACAAACCTACCACCAGAACCAAAAGAGCAGAAACCCCTGTGCCGGAGGAGAGCCGGAAGGTCCCCGACCTGATCCCCAGAGGCCAATGCCAACAAATATAGGACCTATGAAAAACAATCTTGAACAATCTATGTGGTAGCCCCAAAGGGCTACCACGAACCGAGGAGAGGAAAGATATAAGAGTACCCTGACCAAGGACCAGGATGGCTCAGGCGGCGCATGAACAGGACAGAGGCTCAACAAAGCACGAGAAAGCGTATGGAACGGGGCGGACGTGACATCCACCCCGAACGTAAGCTGGAGCGGCTCCGCCAGCGCCGCATGATACGAGGCAACAGTAAGAAGCATTAAAAAATGGTCCAGAAAACCAAGAAAAGACAAGACAACCCGTTGTGAAAGAGAAGACAACCTACGAAGAGCAAGAAAAAGGAGAATAGAAATGGCAGGAAACCGGATCAACCCCAGCCACGGCATGCAGAACAGCGAAGAGCCACAACCAGACACAACACATGACACACCCCCGGCCGAACCAACAGCATCAATGACCCAAAGACCCCTCCAGAAAGCAGCCGTCTCGGCCTTCGCCAGAAAAGACGGAGAAGGCTGCAAACGTACAAACCTACCACCAGAACCAAAAGAGCAGAAACCCCTGTGCCGGAGGAGAGCCGGAAGCTCCCTGACCCGATCCCCAGAGGCCAATGCCAACAAATATAGGACCTTTCAAAAACAATCTTGAACAATCTATGTGGTAGCCCCTTTCTGGCTACCACAAACCGAGGAGAGGAAAGATATAAGAGTACCCTGACCAAGGACTGGGGCCTCGTAGCCTGGTGGATAGAGCGCAGGATTCGTAATTCTGTGGCGCGGGTTCGATTCCCGCACGAGGCAGAAACAAATGGGCAAAGTTTCTTTCACCCTGAATGCCCCTGTTACCTAGCAGTAAATAGGTACCTGGGAGTTAGTCAGCTGTCACGGGCTGCTTCCTGGGGGTGGAGGCCTGGTCGAGGACCGGGCCGCGGGGACACTAAAGCCCCGAAATCATCTCAAGATAACCTCAAGATAACATTGAATGGGAGACCACACTGACGTGAAGACGTCCATGTTCGGGAGTTGATACATCCGGCAGAGCCAACAAAATTGGCGACAACCGGCCAATCCGTGAACAGAGGAATGAACCGAGGCCGTCCGCCAGGACGTAGGACACTCCCCGGACATGAAACGCTCGGAGAGCCAAATCCCAAGAATCCAGCAGACGAGCCACTCAAAGGGACCAATTCCAAAGGGTAAGGACCGAAGAGAACCCCCGTGGTTCCACAATGAACTACCGGAGAACAGTCTGAATAGAGCCGAATGGTGACCCAAGTGACCCAAACCCTCCGAAGCGCAACCAGACAGCCACGAACTTCTGAACCATGCTGTGAGCCCGACGGAAGGATGAACCCCTCCGTTCTCGGCCGGCCTGGTGAGCACTGGTCACAAATCCCCAGCCGAGAGACGACCTGTCCATGAACACATTGAACGAAGGCTCGGGGAGGCGCCAAGACACGGAACCCCGAAAACCCTGAAGAAGAAGCCGGCGACGCAGCACCGACACAAGGTCCCCGGAGGACGACCCCAACGATCGCAAGAGAGGCAGAAGGGGAATCCCTAAAGGAACCAAAACAGACGCCGAAGCGAAATCCGACCCAGCGGATAGACCAGCATTGCGAAGTTCAGATTCCCGCACAACCACTGAGTGACCTGGGACCTCCTCAGAAACAGCCAAAGGGGGGACCGCAGCGGCAGCAACGCCTGTGGAGGGAGAGAAAGAAGCGGTCCAGTAGTCCTAAACAAGACCCAGCCAGGTCCGAACCCGAGACGGAACCAGATGGAACCAGATGGAATGGCCTCTAGTTCATCAGGAACCCGAACCCGGTGATCTGGAAAGAACGACACCCCGGGCGAGCAGACAAGCAGACCGACTGGAAGCCCACACCAGCCAGTCATCGAGGTTAGCCCGAAAACCGAATCCCAAACAAATGCAGACAGGTCACCAAGATCCTGTAAAGATGCGTAAATCCACCAAGTGCCCATTACAAACTAGGGAAGGCCAGTGTAAAACCAGTGTAAAAACCAACACTCAAGCATTCCCAAGGGAACAGAAGACAGGCAGAATACCCCAGAAAAGCAAAGAAACGGCAACAGGAGGATAATTATACTTGGACTGACATTTAGGCATGGTGGGGGGGTTTGGAGGTCGAACAGGGTCCTGGCCACTCGCTACCTTGTCAGTGTTTGTGGGCCAAGTCGGGCAGCCAGTTGTCTCGACTTCGCTTTGAGGAGAGAGGGCCGATCACCTCCCGGGTAAGTCTCTCTTGTTTTTGTCTTTGTGTAAGTAGCTTCAGGGTGCTGATGGGGCTCCCCCAGAAAACCAGCGTTGAATGAAATGAAATGCCATTTTCTGGGTGAGACCCAGAGGCTTCCCGGCAACCCTCCCTCCCACCGTATGGTGGCTTTTCGCGTGTTATGACATCCAGCCTTAGAACTGTAGGGTGGATAGCTGGTACTGAGGTCTGGGGCTTTCCCTTCCCCCTCCTGGGAAGGGGGTGGGGTTGTGCAGACAGCGGCGCGGTGACGTGGTGAAATCATGCTCGTTTGCTCGTTTTCATTTGAGAAGTTCTGTCCACTAGCTCGGCTTTCAGTAGCAATATTTTAATTAGAATAGGGGTTTGTTTTGGAGCGCTTACTTCTCTGGGTGCCTGACCCGGTTGATGGCAGACATGGAATTCTTCCAACCACATGCGGGGTTTCTATAGGCATTGCTCCTTCTGCCTCTCTGAGGGGGGCCAGGTTCTGGCATGTGGTCTCCAGTAGGCCCAGAACTACATACACATTGACTGATTGCATGATCTAATTCATTCATATCAGTCCGGATAGCTCCATGGAGCCTCCGGGTCTCACCCAGAAAATGGCGTTTCATTAAATTTAATGCAGGTTTTTGTATTTGAGAGGAATTAGTATTGTATGATAATTTTGAAGAACTGAGAGAGAGATTTATTTTGAAGTATTAACTAGAAAGTAATTATAAAGAAGATACAAATGAGCCTAGTAATGTTGCAGTGTATATGGAGTTAAAAGTAAAAATATATGCACAGAACAACATGCCAGGAGAGAATTTTGTAGTCAGGAGAAGACTAGAGCTGATGTTAAAATTATAACATATTGAATTGGTTGTAATAGCTACCATGCTGCATTTTGGTAAAAGAAGTCTGTTAGATATTTAATATTATGTTGATTTACAGGACACCTTTACTGGGGGTGGAGGAGAGATGCACATGGGAGATATCTTTTCTCCAAATCTCGAAGGGGTCGGAGAGGGCTTCAGCTCTCCCAAGGCTCGAACTCCACTCAAAGCTACACCTTACATTGTACTAGAAACTCCATACATTACCAACCTGAAAATCTTGCTTACAGAAGCTCTGAACAGACCAGTTACTGTTTTTAACAAGCAGCGCTTCTACTTGTTCAGTTGGGCAATGGAATCAGTTATTTTACCTCTAGTTTTAGTAAGTATTACAAGTATGCAGGTTTTTTATTTAGCAAGAATAACAGGCAAAGATCATAATGCTTGTAATAACATTATAATATATAAATAAATTATAATATGTTAATAGTAATATTTTATGGTTTTGCAAGATGTTTTTTACTTGCATAATGATATTATGCATTATGATATTATATTATGATATGATATTATGCAATATTATTTTACCTCTAGTTTTAGTACGTATTATAAGTATGCAGTTTTTTATTTTATTTAGCAAGAGTGACAGGCAAAGATCATAATGCTAGTAATAACATTATAATATATAAATAAATTATAATATGTAAATAGTAATATTTAATGGTTTTGCAAGATGTTTTTACTTGCATAATAATATTTATCAATAATAAGCCAGGACCCTGAAAGTTGGCCTTTAACCCTTACACTGTATAAATGTTATGACATTCTCCTGGTGTGCCAAAAATAAAGTGTTCCAAAAACAAAATTTTTCCTTTTTATATTGTTAATTAGTACTTAGGAAGAAAAAATCCAAGTAAAAAATCTCTACCTCGTATAGTTTTGCTGTAGTGGCCTGGAGAAGTTACATTTTTCTGAGGGGAGCCCTTTCTGAGGGGAGCCCTTTTGGCTTCTGGGAGCTGTACCGGGCTGGGGTGCGATGGAGTTCTAAGCCTACTGAGGACCAGCGCCAGAACCTGGCCTCATCAGAGAGGCATGAGGAGCAATAGCTTATAGACACCTCAGTGTAGTTGGAAGCAGTCTATATCTGCTATCTACCAGGTCAGGTACCTAGAGAGGTAGGAATCCCAAAACAAACTACAGCTGGTGAAAATTGCAAACCGAAAGCTGAACGTAAGCAGAACTCCCCAATCAGAAAACAAGCAAACAAGCATGACATCACCACAACTGCCGTGCAACTGTCTGTGCAACTCCCCCGTCCCCAGGAGTGGGAAGGGGGAGCCCCAGATCCCCAGCGCCGGCTACCCAACCCCAGTTCTGAGGCTATTGTATTAGGTGGCGGTCGATCGACTATGGCTCCAATCCTTGAACAGTGCTGTGCCTTGTGGTGGTGTGCAAACCAGGTGTTATTCAAGAAGTACTGGGGCTGCATGCACCTAGGGTTCCCTTCCTTAGTTGTCCTGTAAGTACTGCCCTTGCAGTTTTTGGTTACCTTCCACAAACATTCAACTCTTCCACAGCATTCCTCTTCAACTGATTTTTCAGGCATCCCTGTATACAGGAGTTGTAGCTGATGTGTGGAAAAAGGCTAACATAGTTCCAATCTACAAAAGTGGAAGCAGGGAAGACCCCCTTAATTATAGACCGGTATCATTGACAAGTGTAATAGTCAAAATATTGGAAAAAATAATTAAAATTAAATGGGTAGAACACCTAGAGAGAAATGATATAATATCAGACAGACAGTATGGTTTTCGATCTGGAAGATCCTGTGTATCGAATTTACTCAGTTTCTATGATCGATCAAAAGAGATATTACAGGAAAGAGATGGTTGGGTTGACTGCATCTATCTGGACCTAAAAAAGGCTTTCGACAGAGTTCCACATAAGAGGTTGTTCTGGAAACTGGAAAATATTGGAGGAGTGACAGGTACGCTTCTAACATAGATAAAAAATTTTCTGACTGATAGAAAAATGAGGGCTGTGATCAGAGGCAATGTATCGGACTGGAGAAATGTCACAAGTGGAGTACCACAGGGTTCAGTTCTTGCACCAGTGATGTTTATTGTCTACATAAATGATCTACCAGTTGGTATACAGAATTATATAAACATGTTTGCTGATGATGCTAAGATAATAGGAAGAATAAGAAACTTAGATGATTGTCATGCCCTTCAAGAAGACCTGGACAAAATAAGTACATGGAGCGCCACTTGGCAAATGGAATTTAATGTTAATAAATGCCATGTTATGGAATGTGGAATAGGAGAACATCACCTGAGGACCACATAAAGAATATTGTGCGAGGAGCCTATGCCACGCTTTCTAACTTCAGAATTGCTTTTAAATACATGGATGGCGATATACTAAAGAAATTGTTCACAACTTTTGTTAGGCCAAAGCTAGAATATGCAGTAGTTGTGTGGTGCCCATATCTTAAGCACATCAACAAACTGGAAAAGGTGCAAAGACATGCTACTAAGTGGCTCCCAGAACTGAAGGGCAAGAGCTACGAGGAGAGGTTAGAGGCATTAAATATGCCCAAACTAGAAGACAGAAGAAAAAGAGGTGATATGATCATTACATACAAAATAGTAACAGGAATTGATAAAATCGATAGGGAAGATTTCCTGAGACCTGGAAATTCAAGAACAAGAGGTCATAGATATAAACTAGCTAAACACAGATGCCGAAGAAATATAAGAAAATTCACTTTCGCAAAGAGAGTGGTAGACGGTTGGAACAAGTTAGGGGAGAAGGTGGTGGAGGCCAAGACTGTCAGTAGTTTCAAAGCGTTATATGACAAAGAGTGCTGGGAAGACGGGACACCACGAGCGTAGCTCTCATCCTGTAACTACACTTAGGTAATTACACTTAGGTAATTACAAACTGTTCGGGGGCTACCTCAGCAGGGTTGTTTTGCTGCTTGATAATTGCCTGCCCATGGGGTCAGCTGGTTTTTCTGGGGGAAGCCTCTACGACTCCCCGGAGCTATCCATGGCTGATATGGATACCCTAACTATTTTGCATCAGTCGATGTGGGTGGAGTTCTAGGCCTACCGGGGACCACGAGCCAGAACCTGGCCCACTCAGAGAGGCACGGGGAGCAATGGCCCATAGAATTGCACATGTGATTTGAAGCATTCTATATCTGCCATCGACCGGGACAGGCACCCAGAAAGGTAAGCACCACAAAACAAACCCCTATTCTGGTTAACAACAAAAATAGACAAACGAGTGGACAGAACTCCCGAAGAAAAACGAACTAACAAGCATGACATCACACGAGCCGCGCCACATGTCTGCGCAGCTCCCCCCTCCCCAGGAGGGGTAAGGGGGAGCCCCAGACCCCTGCGCCGGCGATCCCCGTCCCAGTTCTGAGGCTGGATATCAAAACCGCACAAAAAACGCCTACCGGAGGGCAGGAGGGTGCCAAGGAGCCTCTGGGACTCACCCAGAAAATGATGTTTCATTACATTCAACACTGGTTTTCTGGGGGGAGCTCCTACAGCTCCCTGGAGCTACTTCACCAAAGACTACCTAAGAAAACAAGGGGACACACCCGGGAGGCAGTCAGTGCACCACTCCTCAACACGAAGTCGAGACAACAACCCAAGGACCCCTCCGGAAAGCAGCAGGCACATCTTTTGCCAGAAAAAGGGAGACGGCTGCAGACAAAGAAACCTATGACCACGACCATAGGAGCCAAAAAACCACTGCGCCTGAGAAGAGCATGAATCTCTGCCACATGATCCCCAGAGGCCAATGCCAACAGAAAAAGAGAGCCGTAGCAAAGCAAACCTGAACCGAAGGAGCCACAACAACCAAGGAGAAGAAAAACAGGAGAGCACCCTGTCCAAAGACCAGGATGACACAGGCAGTGCATGAGCAGATCGGAGGTCCTCCCTCCCTCTGTTGTTGGGGTCAGTGTGTGTTTTCTTGTGTGTTGGGGGTATCCCTCACTAGGCCCCCATGAGTGGACACGTCCCAGGGGGTTCAGGTTTTAGAAGTTTGTTTGGTATACTTGGGTGCTGGTTTGCAGTACCCTGCCTGGGCTTCCCTTAGCATCTTAAAATGGCTAAGGGCCCCTGAGAAACCTCGCAGGGGCTCCGTGGTCCGGTGGACGTGACCTTTGAGTCCCCTCTCGCTTCTTGCGAGTTTGAAGGTTGCTCTGTTCCTTTGTCTTTGGGCAACATTCACTAGTTGTGCCTCCGCCATGCTACCTGTTGGGTCTGTGATTCTTTTGACTTGGAGTCGTGTCCAAGGAGTCGACGTTGTTGTCTGTATATGCTCCAGTTCACCCCATGCTACTCAACATATATGGGTGCAGGCAGCTGCTGCGTTGCATGCTCGGTTTGGTTGCTGCAGCGCGCTCGGTTGGTTGTGGCCCCGGATGCCCTGAAACTGCTCCGTTTTGGTTAAAAGGGGTCCGGACTTGAGGGTGGGAGTCGTTTTGGCTCTGGTTCTGTCCGCCCCTCTTAGTCCTTTCCCTTCTGTTGTGCATACTTTCCTTTCCCCTTGCTTCCGGCTCCGAACCGTCGGTGGGTTTCGGAGTTGGGACAGGGGTCTTGTTGGTGTTGAGACTTGGGCCTTGGGATGGGGTTTTCCTGAGGGGGAGGGGGGCAAACAACTGGGGGGCTTCCTCTTCTAGGGATGGCGGTGGAGGCATTCGAGCCTGTTCCTCCAGCCGTGGTGTATGGGTCTGAGCTGTGGGCTCCCTTCCTTAGTGTTTTTACAGCTGCCCCGGCTTTTTCTTGTGAGGCCGGGGCTTTGGGGGGACGGCTTGGCCCCGGGTTCTGTCGTGGAGGCTTCCGGGGTTGGGGAGGGGTTGCCTGGGGGCCTTGGCCTTGTTTGCCCTGCTTGGGTTTTTGTGCCCTCGGAGTGGGGCTTGCAGTTCCTCAGTGTAGGGTTTTCCTTCCCCCTCTGCGTCGGAGTTGGTTTCGTGTCTGCCCCTTCCCGGGTTCGGTTCCGTGTCCTTTTGAGTTTGTCAGTTCCGTCATTCCTGTGGTGCTTTTCACCGCTTACTTAACCTTTTTCTCTTGGACATGTCCTTTTCTCCATGTCGCAATCATGTTCCCTTCGTATCGGGATCCCTGCATGACCCTTGGTTATGGGTGTCATTGGGCCCCGTCTGTGCTTTCATGAATTTGTGCTTCCCCCAAACTGTTCCCCCATGGTTCATTGTCTCAACCGAGGTTGGGTTCCCTTCAGTCCGTGCCTCTTTGGAGTTGGTCACATCAGGTAGCTCTTCTGCCAATTTTTTAGGGTTTAGCTCTCTGTGTCGTTCATGTTCAGGTAGTGTCTAACGACCTAGCAGATGACCTGCTTTGCTTCGTTCCTCTTTCCAAGGAGTGGACGGGTAGCGCTGTTTCCTTCCTCTTGCTTTACTGGACATACAGGAGCCCAGAGGTGGACCTCGCAACGGCATAGTTACGCTGTTCCCCATCTTCTGCGAGGCTTTTGCGGTGGATGCTTTTCGGCAGGACTGGTCGAGGTGGGGGTTTCTGTACATTTTTACCCGGTCAAGGTGTTGCTCCAGGTTCTGTCTCAGCTCGAATTGGGAAGGTGATCCTCCTGGCCCTATGGAGCCGGCCCAGCTTTGGTTTCAGGCACGGGCTTGGAAGTAGGGACCACTAATGGGGGGGGGGGTAGTTGGATGAAGTTTTGCTTTTTTTTTCTGGTGGTGTTCTTTTGCTCTTATGAGGACGTAACTTGCAATTTTCAACTAAACAGTGGTCTGTTTTGATTCTCCTACCTTTCTGAGTGCCTTCCCTTGTCAATGGCAAGTATAACTTACTTTAAATGTAAAGTGTTCATAAGCCATTGCTCTCTGTGCCTCTGAGGGGGGCCAGGTTCTGGTGCTATTCCCCAGCAGGCAACAAGAACTCTGTGACTGATGACCCCAAATAGCATGGCACACTATCAGTGGGATAGCTTTAGGGAACCTCCAGGGCTCACTCAGTAACTGACGTTTCATTACGTTCAATGTTGCGTCTCCTTTAATGTGTTTTGCTGGTGGAAAAATTTAGTTGTAGTTGTTTGCAATGAGTTGATTTCTAATCCTTATATGGTGTTCTCTGCCTCCTGTTGAGACGTAAGACAGATTGAAGACGTTCTTGTCTCAGGTGGGTTGATATAATCACATTGTGGCATACCCACATGTCATAATTATGTCATTGACAACCAAATGGGAACTATTGGGGTACTGGCCAGAAATAGGCATTTCATTACACACTATGTTCTATATCATTGTATAGTACCGTATATAATAATGTGTCCCGATGTTGTTTCCATCTGTCAGTTTTCACCTTCCGAGGTCTTAAATGAAGGTTTTTACTATTGTATATTACATTTTCAGCCTCGTATTCTGTTGTATATCTGTCATAATCCTCAGTAGACGGGCTCACCATAGCCCGTGCTACTTGGAACTTTTTGTTCCAAGTAGCAAATTTTAAACAACAACAACATCCTCAGTAATTTAGTATTGACAACATCATATTGCTTCATAAACATTTGGTGTTTCATTATACAGTACAACCTCGATTCAACGAATCTCCGGCTAGTTCGCACACTTTTCAGGCCGGATTTTCTCACCCGGTTTGACGAACAATGGTTCGCCGAAGCGGGGGATGTTCGGATTTGCTTATGATGTCGAGGCAGAGTTCACAGACTGATGGAAAGCTTTCCCATTCTATCACAGATTACAATTAATAATTCACTCATATGACAAGTTTGATCACACAAGTGGACCACACAAGTGGATCGCACAAGTGGTCCACAAGTGGTCCACAAGTGGTCTACATGCTTATGATGTTGGGACAGAGTTCACAAAGTGGTGGAAAACTTTCCCGTTCCATCACAGGTTACAATTAATAATTCCTTCATATGACAAGTTGGACCACACAAATGGACCACACAAGGACCACACAAATAGACCACAAGGGGTCCACAAGCTTACGATGTTGGGATAGAGTTCACAGAGTGGTGGAAAAGTTTCCCATTCTATCACAGATTATAATTAATAATTCCTGCATAAGACAAGTTGGATCACACGAGTGGACCAGACAACAAGTGAACCATATGAATCAAACACCAGCCAGAATGATCCACACGACAAGTGACGCATATTAACCAAACACCAGCGAAAGTGGTCCACACAAGTGAACGACTGAGTCTCAATGATTTTCGTTCACCGATTTGTGGCACACGTATCTTTGTAAATTAATTTAAAGGCTGAAGCGTGAATAGCTATCTAATGTGTTGAAATCTTCTTATATACATTTTCTGTGATGAATCAAGATGAGTGAGGGGGGACAGATAAGGGAATACTGTACAGTAAACCTCACTTTACTGTGAGGTTTCAATCACTTTTGTCTGTTGTTATAGTTCAGTGACCCATGACTTTGAACATTTAAGATTAATAAATCATTTCAAAAACTTGTGTTTTAATAACTTATTATTATCCTAATTAAACTAAATAAAATGAAAAATATACTGTAATTTGATAGATATTTGCTATTTGAGAAATTATTCATGGTTTTGGCAACACAACTCCAGTGCGAGTGGACGGGTCTGATCCATGTCCACACAACAACATGCGTGTTTTGTTCGATTTCGTCGCTACAATTCAGTGACCTACGACTTCGAAATAATAAAATTAATAAATCAGTTCTAAAATAAGTATTTTTTATAGCTCTTATTATCGTAATAATGTTGCTAAACTAAATATATAACCCAAAATATATAATTTTATGTAAATCAAATATTTGAGAGAACTCTATGTTACTGGATCTGGCTTAAACACCAGCCTACTGTAGGGTGTACATATAGACCTAGTTTGCATTCGTACAGTATGCACCCAGTGCCCTTAGCTTTGTCTGCGATTGACATACAGTATTTATCCGCTGGTGGAAGAATAATCATGGTATTTATAATGTTTGGACTACAGCTGTATTGTTACACAACAAAATGTCTCAGGGCCTTATTAATAGTGCTTTATTAATGCCAAAAATGAAGCAATATTTTGCAAGAACCAGTAGCAGAAAATTAACCAGCACAAGCACAGCCGTACCCAGCACGAGCACAGCTGTACCCAGCACTGGTACAACAGCAGCCAGCACCAGCTCAGAAGCAGCTGAACCCACAGCAGCAGCGAGCACCAGCAAAGCTGATGCAAACATCTAAAAACATCGTGTGTGGCGTGAACAGATAGAACAAGTGTTAAATTTAAGTGTGTACATAGTGTTAAAATTAAAGTTGCAGTAATTTTAGTGTACAATAGTTTTCATAAACTGTGTTGTAGTACTCAACATACAGCAGAATTACTTAATCAACACAGTGTTAATGGTATAATACACAACAGTACGTATTTACTGTACAGCATTCACAACTCCACGAGACTTCAAGATGGACTTAACTCCAACAATAAGGTAAATAACAAATGTAACACTATTTTTTAGTAGGGTAATAATAAAGAGGTACAGTATATAATATGATGCATTTTTATTGTGTACAAGAAAAAAAAGACACCAACGCAAACGCCTCCTGAAGGTCACCTCTTGCAACACATTCAACGCTCCAACGCACCGGGGTTGGTCCCATATAGTGCGTTGAATCGAAGTTGTACTGTACTGTATACCCAAAATTACACAGTAGAATTTAATGCTGTGAATAATAATAATGATATAATTGATGATGATAGGCATGTTGACTTGTGTCTATGACAGCCAATGTAACTGATGTTCTTGTTTACCAGGGACTTATCCTAGTGATCAATGCTCTTAGAGTATATTATGGAAGTTGGATTGGGGACTGGACTGAAGCACTCTTAATCGGCCCTGTGTGTGTAGCTCTTCCTCTCATTCCTCTGGGCCTGCCCCTAGCTTGGCTTGTGCTCAATTGGCTGGGCATAGCACGCATTCTTACCATGTATCACCATGCCAATAAATTGCAGGTTGGTGATAATATTATTTATATTTTGTATATATTTTAATTGATAAGGCTTTCAGTAATGTTAGTTTCAGACCAAGAATGTTTTTGACTTACATGATGTACTTACATTAGCTTTGTTGGTATATCTGCATGAAAAGGAAAATTTTGTTTAAAATTACTGGGTAAATAACAACAACAGCAATAATAATAATGATTACAAAATCAGTAGGGACCATACGAAGGATTAGAACCTTAACACTGCGTACTCTCAATCATACGTTAATGTGATTTCTTTGTGCAAATTTTGAAAATGTGATTTGGTATCAGGTGGATGCCTCAGGACCCCCTGGAGGATTCAGTTGAATCCCAAATTGTGTTTATACTGTTTGAACATATTTTGTATCAATAATTGTTGCATATTTGAGTATACACAGGCGCACAAATGTTTTCAAATCAGCATTTTCATTCCCTCTAATATTGTTAACCCTTATAGCCGCGTACATCATATAAATGATATCAGTGACAAAACTGAAACCGTGCACATCATTTATATATGCTTTCGTGTCTAGCTAATATTGTTAACCCTTATAGCCGCGTACATCATATAAATGATATCAGTGACAAAACTGAAACCGTGCACATCATTTATATATGCTTTCGTGTCTAGCGCTATAATTTAAATGACCCGCATGGGATAGGGGTAGTCATCGACGAGCCTCAACCGACCATAAACAAACCCCGCCTGGGAAAAAAATCCAGCGTGGGTCCCCTTTGTGTACAGGCCTCAGTTACCCGGCGGACGCCATGGCGAACTCATCAAGTTCCAACGACCGACCCCGCTCAGTGAGGCGTTCCTCGCGACCTCTGACCGAGGACGAAATTAATCGTAATTTGTTCCCGGATGGTGATGAGTCTGATATAGATGACTCAGACTTTGATCATGACTACACACAGCCCTCAGAGGTGGATACGACCGACGACAAGTGTGAACATGCTGGCTCCACCAGGGCTAGGCCTAGCATCTCGCCCATGCCTCCTCGCCCTCACTCGACCCCAATTTGTGCAAGACCACACAGTTCATGTGCTCCCTTGCAAGATATTGATGTTTTGCTCGACGAGTCTGAAGAAGATGAATCATTTTCCTGTTTTAGTGACTTAGAATCGGAAAATAGTTTCGCTAGTGCAAGTGGAGTGTGTGGTGTTGCCAAGAGACAACTTGTTGCGTCAGCAGCATCTGGCCAAGCCATGCGGCACCGCATGGCACCACATGAACAAAGACCCTCAACATCGAGTAATTTTCTGTCACCGTCCCTGCCCATCCCCAGTGTTCCTAGACCTGCTTCAGCTCCTGGTCCACGGTTTCCTCGCCGTGGTGCCGCTATTGACTCAAAAGACAACCGGTGTTTTTGTGTGGAGTGATGGGACAGATTTTGTTCCACAAATTCCTGTTTTTGATAATTCGGATGTTGGAATTACAGATATTTTCCCTGATAAAGGTGCAAATATGTGTGAAATGGACTGTTTTACTACATATTTTGATGAGCCACTAATGGAATATATTGTTCATGAAACGAACAAATATGCGACTGATCTCATTGATGATGAGGAGTTATCCGATTATTCACGTTTGTAGCGATGGAAAGATACGACTGTAGGTGAAATGTATGTGTTTTTGACACTGTGTATGTTGATGAAACATTGTGTCAAACACGTAATCGACCATTATTGGAGCAAAGACCATACTGTTCCAACACCGATGTTCGGCAAATATGTCTTGAGACAGATTTGCGATAATCCTCAGGTGTCTTCACTTTGCAAATGATGAAGACCGGAATGATGATGATAGACTTTGGAAAGTAAGGCACGTCCTGAATGAACTTATCGGAAAGTACAGGGATTTCTACGTACCAGCTCAGAAGCTGGTGATTGATGAATCCCTTGTGCTTTTCAAAGGACGTCTTGCCTTCAAGCAGTATATTCCCTCTAAACGCCACCGATTTGAATTGAAATTCTTTGTACTCTGTGATTGTGAAACAGGAATGGTATTACACATGATAATGTATACGGGTACAAATGTAGACATTCCTGCTAATGACCAACATGGCTTCTCAGGTAGTGTGGTGAAGGCACTGCTTGCACCATATCTGAACAAGGGCCACATATTATACACAGATAACTCTTATACCAGTTCTCTTACTAACCAGGTTCTTGCTTGATAATAAAACTGGAGTATGTGGCAGTGTAAAGCCAAAATGAAGTTAAATGCCAGTGTTTCCAGGTGCTATGCAGGTTGGTGACTGTGAGCTCAGAAAAACAGGTGGAATACTTTCAGTGTGATGGAAAGACAAGCGTGAAGTGAACATGTTGACCACCATTCACGCTGGAACAATGCTGGACAGTGGCAAGGTGAACAGAACCACAAGATATATAATCTATCAGCCAGATTGTGTCTTGGACTATAACATCAACATGCGTTTGGTGGATAAATGTGATATGATGGTGGGGGCAGTAGAGTGTGTACGGAAAACAGTGAAGTGGACCAAGAAAATGTTTTTCCACCTCGTTGACGTTGACGCCCATTTGTAATACCAACAGATTTTGGGGCCTTGTTTTGTTTGTTTCCCTTTGCCAGGGACCGCACTCTGCTGCGGCATCCCCGACACTGTGCTCTGCTCCGGGGCCTGTGACACCGCGCTCTGCTCCGGCGCCGTTGACACCGCGCTCTGCTCAGGGATCCCCGACTCCGCGCCCTGCTCAGGCGTCCCCGACTCCGTGCCCTGCTCAGGCGTCCCCGACTCCGCGCCCTGCTCAGGCGTCCTCGACTCCGCGCCCTGCTCAGGTGTCCCCGACTCCGCGCCCTGCTCAGGCATCCCCGACTCCGCGCCCTGCTCAGGCATCTCCGACTCCGCGCCCTGCTCAGGCGCCGCTGCCACCGAGCTCTGTGCCATATCTGGTTGTACCTTGGTGTCATGTACAGTTTAGTTTGAAGACATTAGAAATTGCTATGCAGGCATTAATTAGTAATTCTCTGTTTTCAGCGGGAGTTTTATCCAGGATTTCCATCATCTTCAAAAAAGTTACATCATCCTTCATCCTATCAGTATAAATATTCCTTGATATACAACAATGATCAATCAATCACCCTATCAGTCCTAGAACACACATGTATGTCTCTACAGGTAATCCAGCCTATGGTTGTAACTCTATACTTCAGTATAAATACTAATTGGCACAAAAATGGTAATCAATCACTCGCCTTTCACTGCATCTTGCACGCTAATGGCAACCAAACACTCTACCAACTCCCTACAATTTGTCAATAAAAACTTCCCGTCCACATCTGGAAGTTCACTACCTTGACATCATCAGGTTCTTCTGGGTTTATCTACCAGGATCCTCCACAGCTCTTCCAGGCTGCTACACCATGAAGTCTTCCTTGAGCAACTATGGTGCTTCACCACTGGTATCACAAAAGCATGTGAAACTTCATTCCACTACTCCTCTTCTCACAGCTTGAGGTCCTCTTCCTCACTGTATGGCTGCTCTCCCACAGAGCTCAGTACCTTCTACAACCTTGGAGTCTCATCAACCACTCCCTCTCTGCTGGCTTCGAAGTTCTCAGCAACTCCTTCCCCAGACAAACCAGCAACCCATTGACACGCCAATAAAAATGTTTCTCTATAAGCACATTAACGAAATAAACCACACAATATGTTTACACCCAATATCTCTCTGCTCTCTACATGCCGTGATAGTGGAGTTCCCTGTTTGAGCTGGTCCATCCTTTGCCTGGCGGTCACTCCACGTTGCTTTTTGACTCAGAAGACCAACTTAGTAGTTCGTTATGGTGAACAAAACATACAGATACTTTTATATAACCTGTGTATATAGTGTAACAACAGCAAAACTATTTTTTTTATATTTTTATGAACATAATAATTTAATCACTAATATGCACACCATAATTTTGAGTTCAGCGATGGTTCACACATTTTATTATATAAATATACCACAATTCACTGTGTGGAATAATATTACTGCAAAAAAACTAAGAAAAAATCAATCAGAGACATTGAAATAATTAGGTAATAATATATTTGTGGCAACTGCCGCCTGATAGCTCGAGCGGAGTAGACCTCGTCTGGCGAAGGCTCTGTCAACGCCCCTTTTTTGCCACACTTCCCTATCCTATGGCGACTAAAATATACCACCTATGAGTTGTTTGTTATTTTTTCCGTGATCAGGGAACAAAAATAAACACTTCTATAAGACAAAAGAATTTTTTGGATTTTTGTTGTTGCTCGTATGGGTGTGAATTCCATTTGGGCCCCTAGTGGTTTGAGGGGTTAATACCGTAATGGTGGGAGGGTTTGGCAACCATTGCTTGGTCAGCAAGCCTTCCCACTGCCTCCTTCACCACCACTACCACCACCACCACTCCCTCACCATCACTCCTTCACCACTACCACCAACACCAACACTCTCCCTCACCACCACCACCACCGCCACCACCACCAACACTCTCCCTCACCACCACCACCAACACTCTCCCTCACCACCACCACCACCAACACTCTCCCTCACCACCACCACCAACACTCTCCCTCACCACAATCACCACCACTCTCCCTCACCACCACCACCACCACCAACACTCTCCCTCACCACCACCACCACCACCAACACTCTCCCTCACCACCACCACCACCACCAACACTCTCCCTCACCACCACCACCAACAACACTCTCCCTCACCACCACCACCAGCACTCTCCCTCACCACCACCACCACCACCAACACTCTTCCTCACCACCACCACTCTCCCTCACCACCACCACCACCACCAACTCTCTCCCTCACCACCACCAACACTCTCCCTCACCACCACCACCACCACCACCACCACCACCACCAACACTTCCTCACCACCACCACCAACACTCTCCCTCACCACCACCACCAACACTCTCCCTCACCACCACCAACACTCTCCCTCACCACCACCAACAACAACACTCTCCCTCACCAGCACCACCAACACTCTCCCTCAACACCACCACCACCACCACCAACACTCTCCCTCAACACCACCACCACCACCAACACTCTCCCTCACCACCACCACCACCAACACTCCCTCACCACCACCACCACCACCACCAACACTCTCCTTCACCACCACCACCACCACCAACACTCTCCCTCACCACCACCAACACTCTCCCTCACCACCACCAATACTCTCCCTCACCACCACCACCACCACCAACAACACTCTCCCTCACCACCACCACCACCACCAACAACACTCTCCCTCACCACCACCACCAACAACACTCTCCCTCACCACCACCACTACCACCACCACTCTCCCTTACCACCACAACCATAACCACCACCACCACTCTCCCTTATCACCATCACCACCACCACCACTATCCCTCACCACCACCACCACCATCACCAACACTCTCCCTCACCACTCACCACCACCAACACTCTCCCTCACCACCACCACCACTTTCCCTCGCCACCACCACCACTCTCCCTCACCACCACCACCATCACCACTCTCCCTCACCACCACCACCACTCTCCCTCAACACCACCACCACTCTCCCTCACCACCACCAACACTACCACCACCACTACTCTCCCTCACCACCACCACTACCACTACCATCACCACCACTCTCCCTCACCACCACCACTCTCCCTCACCACCACCACCAACACTTTCCCTCACCAACACCACCACCAACACTCTTCCTCAACACCCCCACCACCATCACCAACAACACTCTCCCTCAACACCACCACCACCATCACCACCAACACTCTCCCTCAACACCACCACCAACAACACTCTCCCTCACCACCACCACCACCATCACCACCAACACTCTCCCTCAACACCACCACCAACAACACTCTCCCTCAACACCACCACCACCATCACCACCAACACTCTCCCTCAACACCACCACCAACAACACTCTCCCTCACCACCACCAACACCACCGACACTCTCCCTCACCACCACTACCAACACTCTCCCTCACCACCACCACCACCAACACTCTCCCTCACCACCACCACCACCAACACTCTCCCTCACCACCACCACCGCCAACAACACTCTCCCTAACCACCACCAACACTCTCTCTCACCACCACCACTGCCACCACCACCACCACCACCAACACTCTCCCTCATAACCACCACCACCACTCTCCCTCACCACCACCACCACCACCACTCTCCCTCACCACCACCACCACCACTCTCCCTCACCACCACCACCACCATCACCACCACCACCACTCTCCCTCACCACCACCACCACCACTCTCCCTCACCACCACCACCACCAACACTCTCCCTCACCACCATCAGCACCACTACCACTCTCCCTCACCATCACCACCACCACCTCTCTCCCTCACCACCACCACCACCAACAACACTCTCCCTCACCACCACCACCACCAACAACAACACTCTCCCTCACCACCACCACCACCAACAACAACACTCTCCCTCACCACCACCACCAACAACAACAACACTCTCCCTCACCACCACCACCAACAACATTTTCCCTCACCACCACCACCACTCTCCCTCACCACCACCACCACCATCACCACCACCACCACCATCACCACTCTCCCTCACCACCACCATCACCACTCTCCCTCACCACCACCACCACCACCATCACCACTCTCCCTCACCACCACTACATTCTCCCTCATCACCACCAATACTCTCCCTCACCACCACCAATACTCTCCCTCAGCACCACTAATACTCTCCCTCACCACCACCAATACCTGGTTGATTTGTTTCTCGCATCTTTACCTGGTTGATGGGGTTCTGGGAGTTCTTCTACTCCCCAAGCCCGGCCCGAGGCCAGGCTTGACTTGTGAGAGTCTGGTCCACCAGGCTGTTGCTTGGAGCGGCCCGCAGGCCCACATACCCACCACAGCCCGGTTGGTCCGGCAATCCTTTGAGGAATAAATCTAGTTTCCTCTTGAAGATGTCCACGGTTGTTCCGGCAATATTTCTTATGCTCACTGGGAGGGTGTTGAACAACCGTGGACCTCTGATGTTTATACAGTGTTCTCTGATTGTGCCTATGGCACCGTATCTTTGTATCGCTGGTATGTTTGGGGGTTTGGCCTTTTCCTATATTGATTCCATTTTTGTGTCTTTTGGTCTCTGGCCCTCTCGCAATTTCTGTTGAACCAGTCCTGTTTTCTGGCCCTGCATCTCTGTTTTGGTATGAATGTTTGTGTGCCTTCATTGTATATTTTGCAAAATTTGGCATACATTTCATTTACTTCCTTGCCTAGCAACAAGTCTGTCCAATTACACTCATTAAAAAATTGTCTTAGTTCCCCATAGTGACCTCTCCTTAAATCGAATTTATCAACCGTTTCATTGTCCCCATTTTCTTCTAGATGATATCTTAAAGCATATTTAATGTCTAACAGGACATGATCACTCTTTCCCAAGGGAGGAAGGTAATGGATGTCAAATATCTCTTCTTTCCTGGTGAATACTAGATCCAGTACTGATGGTACATCTCCTTCCCTCATTCTTGTGGCCTGCTTTATGTTTTAATACAAGAATGTCTCCAGAATGAGGTTCACAAATCTGCATGTCCAAATGTCCTCCGTTCTTGCTTCATAGGCCTCCCAGTCTATTGCTTTAAAGTCCCCCAGTATCAACAGTTGTGATTTATCTTTATCTGCTTGTACAATAATATCTCTCAAGACCATTATGAGGCCCTCTCGTTTGTCATCCAGTTCTTCCTTTGTCCATGTGTTACTCTCTCTCACCATCACCAACACTCCGTCACTACCACCAACATTCTCCCTCACCACCACCAACATTCTCCCTCACTACCACCAACACTCTCCCTCACCACCACCAACATTCTCCCTCACTACCACCAACACTCTCCCCTACCACCACCAACACTCTCCCTCACCACCACCAACACTCTCCCTCACCACCAACAACAACACTCTCCCTCACCACCACCACTCTCCCGACCTCCATCAACCAATGCCTCCCTCCATCAATCACTGCCTCTTATCCCTCCCTCAATGCCTCCCCTCCCTCCCTCAGGTTGGTAGCCAAAAGTATTTAATTTACAACTCTGGACGATAGAGGTCAGTGGCCTGTTTCCATGTGAGGGCCCGCTGATGCCAAAACAAACCCAATACCAACCTACGGTTATATGGACCACTAGACCGGTATATGAGGCTCCACTTACTGGTCTCTTAAACCATTCAATGGAACCAGCAGATCAGTAAATAAGAGGCCGTTAAATCCAGTGGATTCTGTATATACATCAGCCTGGATAGGTCTGGGGAGCCTCCGGGTCTTACCCAGAAAATGGCATTTCATTACATTCAATGCTGGTTTTTGGGACTATCATCGTGTGTCCTAAATTTACCCTATCTGATTGTCTTCTAACTTAGCTTACATTATCGCATTCTGTGCTTATCCATCCTGTCTATTCTTTGCTAAGATATTTCACCCCCAGCATTAATGTTGCAAGTTTGTTTCTCTGTCCTACTTACTATTCTTTGCAACCTTCGTCATATAATATGGGCATTAAATTCTTGTCTGCTAAGTAATATCTTCAATTACAGAGTGATCCAGTTGAAGACCCCTTTGAGGATGCAGAGCTGGAGGCCCTGCAGTTCTCCGAGATGTCTGTCAAATGGTTGGAATTACGAAGGCACTTCATGCTTACTATTTACGGCATGGAGCCTTCTCCCATTAGAACAGCCAATGTTCTTCACGTTTTAGCATCAGTAACGGTATGGATGGTAGAAATGCACAACATGCGCAATAAACTAATTGATTCATATTCAATTCATTTCTCACTTAAATGGAGTTGGGAAAGAAAAATATTTCTTACTTTCATGGAGCTGGGAGAGAAAGACATTAAGCAGCATTCAGAAAGATATCCAATTGTTTGTACTGTACTATCTTCTACTCTCAATGTTGGTTTGGCAAATTGTTTCAGGAGGGACTTCCTGATTGCCACTTTTGTGCTGTTTCCTTCACAACCTGATGCCCAGACCATTCCCAGTCTGTGTGGATCATTAAGATTTTTGGATCCCTAACATGACCTTCCTCAATGATTGTTTGGGCTTTCAGTCATCATTATTGTCTCCTGGCCAGGGATTTGGGTTTGTGTGTACTAGGACTCCCCAATTTTTCTGGGAAAGCCCCTTTGACTTCCCGGAGCTTATCCAGGCTGATATGCTAATGTCAGACTATGGCATCAGTCATGTGTGTGGAGTTCTGTGGGCCTACCGGGGACCATGAGCCAAAACCTGGCCACCTCAGATGAGGCATGGGGAGCAATGGCCTCCCTGTGTGATTGGAAACATTATATGTCTGCCATCGACCGGGTCAGGCACCCAGAAAGGTAAGCGTCCCAAAACAAACCCCTATTCTGGTGAAAATTGCTTCCAAAAACCGAACAACTGGATAGAACTCCCCCAAAAAGGAACAAGCAAACAAGCATGACATCACACGTCGTCGCGCCGCTGTCTGTGCAGCTCGCCCCCTCCCTGGGAGGGGGAAGGGGGAGCCCCAGACCCCCTGCCAGCTTTCCACCCTTCAGTTCTAAGGCTGATGCTAGAGGCAGAGGTCGTGTGCTCTGGCTCCAGTGATTTTCCAGCACTGTGCTTAAAGTGTGGTGGCTGCCTTCCAGGGGTGTGAGAGCCGGGAGTTATTCTACAGTACTCGGGCTGCATGCCCCTAGGGTTACCTTCCCTAGGTGCCCTGTAAGTACTGCCCTTGGGGCTTGGGGCTACCTTCCACAAGTTCCTTAGGTCCTGCCTTTGCTGGGCTGTTTTAACTGCTCAGTTTTTCGGCCACCCTTTGGGTACTTGGGTGTTTTGTCTCCCTTGTTTACCTTAGGGTAAGAGGTAGTTTACACTGGTACGGGGCACAGGGTGCTGCGTAGCTTGTTTTCACGATTCATAGCGGTTGGCTCTTCCTTTGGGTACGTTGTCCTTTTTGCGGGGTTTTGTTTTTCTTTTTCTTTTTGCCTTGTGGGGGGGGGGGTGTCTGCCTTGCTTGCCCTTTGGTGGTTGACCTACTACGATTTTCTAATGGTGGTGCCCCCTGCTAAGTCCCTGTGAGTGTACCCGTCCCTGAGGTTCAGCTTTAGACAGTTGCTTGGTAGTTTTGGACGCCGGTTAGCAGTACCCTGCCTGGGATTCCCTGAACGTGAGTTTCATCTCAGGACCCTGGGAAACCCCACGGGGGCACCTGGGTCCAATGGATTTGACCCCAGAGTTCCCCTCCCCCCCTCTCTTCGTGCGAGTTTGAGGCTTGCTCGGTTCCCTTGTCTCAGGGTGACCCTCACTGTTTTTGCCTCTGTCACGCTGCCTGTTGGGTCGGTGATGTTTTTGACCCAGAGTCCTGCGAGTTCTGTTGCTTGCTGGTGACTCAGTTTACCTCAGTCTAATGATGATCTTCTATGGGTACAGGCGGCGCAGATGTAGCATGTGAGCTTTAGGTTGTTGCACTGCGCTTGGTTGGTTGTTCACCCGGATGCCCCGAGGCTGCCCCGTTTTGCTTATAGGGATCCGGACTTTGGGTGGGGGGTCGCTTCGACCTTGGTTCAGTCCACACCCCCTCATCCTTCCCCTGTTTTAGTTTGTTCTGGCCCCCATCCCTCTGCTTCTGGCCCGAAACTTCTGAGGGTTTTGGAATCGGGGCAGGGTTTAGAAGGTCTTGAGACTTGGGCAGTCTCGGGGGACGCCCCTTCCGGTGTGGCAACAGAGGCATTCGAGTCCGATCTTCCAGCTGAAGCCTCCGGGTCTGACCAGTGGGCCCCCTTCCGTCCAGCTTACTCGGCACTGCCGGCCTTTTCTTTAGAGGCCGGTGCTCTGGGGGACGACTCGGCCCCGATTCCTGCGGAGGAGTATCCTGAGGCGGGGAAGGAGCTGACTTGGGATGCCTTGGGCCCCGCTGGACCCTGCCTGGGATTTTCTGCCCTCTGAGCGGGGTTCTCTTTTCCCTCCTCTGCGTACGAGTTGAATTTGGTGTCTGTCCCTCTCCGGGTTTGGATCTGTGTTCCCCCCCGGGTGTGTCGGTTCCGTCTTTCTGGAGGTTCTCGGCTTCCCGCATCCAACTGTCTGTGGTGCGGGCGGCCCTTGCGGCTTACCTCCTGCGTGACCCAGATTACGCCTCGGTAATGGATCTGTTGTCTTTCAGGTTTGGGATTTCGTTCCCTTTCTGGGTCCGTTACGAGGTTCCGGAGTCTTTCTGGCTGGCGGACTATCCCGCGTTTGCTTTGGAGGCTTGGCATTCCTTCTGTCCTTCCCATACGCTTGAGTGGCGCGAGACGTCGAAGGTGGTTCAGGTTTTCCTGGGAGGCGACCTTGAGCATCTCAATGAGTGCTTGTTTGCCCCTGCCATTACCCGGGATGTTGGCATCGTGCAGCTCCATGTGCAGGTTTCCTCCCTTTTGGCTACGCAGGTTGCTGAGGACTTGCGCGACGGGGGCCTTTTGGCTTTGGCCTTGCATTTCTTTTCCCTCCTGGAACTGTCCTTGGACTGGTTTAGGGAGGCTGTAGGGACGCTTGGGGCTGTTCCTGGGTCCGGTGCCTTGGGCTCAGTGGCTCGCTCATCAGCTGCCTTGTTGAAGCTCTTTGCGCAGGTCTTGCGGGATGCGGTCTCACCATTTTATGCATCCTGGCTTGCGTGTCGGCGGGAGGTGCTTGCCTCTCTCTGGAATCGGCCTGGGCCCTGGGTCTTAGGATGTCTTTGCCTTTTTGTCCTCTGCTTTTTGAGAATTCTGCCGTGGCGCAGTATAAACAGGCTGCTTCGGCTATTTGTCGCCCCTATGTATGCCTCTGACTTGTTGGTTCTCCTGGGGTCCTTGGGGGTGCGGGGGGCCTTCCCGGAGTGGTCGTGCCGGGCTTGGGGTTCCTCTTGTCAAGGTAGGTCACAGGGGCCAGTTTTGGGTCCGGCGCCGCCTTTGGACCCCACCTTCGTTGGTCGGTGCAGTGTTTGCTCTGTGCAAGGTTTTGGGTCTCGTGAGGGGTGCCAGCCCTTTCACGGTTTGCTCCATTGACGGGGCGATGGGGAAGAAGGCTTGCGCTGTTCGCTCACGCCTGGTCCCACAATTTGTGGGCGTTTTGGGTTGTTTCCTTTGGCCTGCGGTGACGTTGGGTGGCCCTTCCTTCTTCGGGGGGGTTTGGGGCTGGCGGGGCAGGCCTCTTCCTCTGCGCTCTGTCAGGTCATCTTGGAGTGGGTTCGCTTAGGCATGGTCGAAACAACAACGTCCCTCAGATGAGTTTCTCATCTGTTCCCAGTACCGAAATGGGACTGTGTCTGGACTTCATTCTGGACTTGTTCTATCTGAACCCCCTGGGTTCATTGCCCCCCTCTTTCGGATGACTACACTATCCCAGGTTCGGCTTCTTTTGGCACCTTGCTCTTGGATGGTGTCCCTGAACCTCTGGGACACTTATTGGCACGTCCCGACCGCTTCCTTGTCTCTTCCTCCGGAGTCTCTCCTACGGCTGCTGTCCTACATGCACCTGTTTCTGGGGGGCTCCCGGGTCACCCGGTAGTTGCTCGAGGGTCTGTGCAGGAGCCTGAACTTCACGATGATGGTCTACCTGCCGGGTCGAGTTTGGCTTCGTCGGCTGTTCTAGTTCCTTCGGGGACGTCTATACTGCCTCTCTCGTGATCGCTGGGTTCGCCTCCGGGGGGCCCTTGCTCTGGCTGCTGCGTCGCCGGCTTCCTCTTCGGGTTTTTCAGGGTTCAGTGCCTTGGCGCCTGCCCGAGCCCTCGCTCGATGTGTTCACGGATGTGTCATCTTTTAGCTGTGGCTTTGTGACCAGTGCTCACCAGGCCGGCCAGGGATGGTGGGGTCCGTCCTTCAGTTGAGCCCGCAGCATGGTGCGGTAATTCGTGGCGGTGTGGTTTGCTCTTCGGAGGGTTCGGGTCACCTGCGGATCAACGATCTGGCTCCATTGGAACTGCTCCCCGGTGGTTCATTGCCTGAACCAAGGGGGTTCGATGCGGTCCTTGGCTCTTTGGCGCTGGTCGCTTTGGGTGACTAGTCTGCTGAGTTCTCGGGGTTTGGCTCTCCTGGCTGTTCACATGTGGGGAGTGTCCAACGTCTTGGCTGACAGACTGTCTCGTTTCTTTCCCCTTTCCACGGAATGGACATTTGAAGCCGACTCCTTCCATTGGCTTTGCCAGACGTTCAGGCACCCCGAGGTGGACCTCTTCGCATCGGCGTGGTCGCGGCGCCTTCCCCTGTATGTGGCGCCCTTCCCCAACTGCGAGACCGTCGGGATTGATGCCTTTCGGCAGGACTCGTCCGGCCTGCTCTTGCACCGCTTGAGCCGTCCTGGTAATTGGACAGTGTGCTCTCTTTTCTTTCTTCTCCTCAGTTTGTTGTGGCCCCTTCGGTTCAGGATTGTTTCTTGGAGGCTCTTTTTCTGTTGGCATTGGCCTCTGGGGGGTCGGGTCGGAGAGCTTCATGCTCTCCTCCGGCGCAGGGGTTTCTGCTCCTTCGGTCGTGGCGATAGGATAGGTTTGTCTGCAGCCGTCTCCTTCTTTTCTGGCAAAGAATGAGACTGTTGCTTTCCGGAGGGGTCCTTGAGTTGTTGATGCTTGGTTGGTCAGGTCGGGGGGTGCTTCATGTTTTGTGTCCGGTTGCGGCCCTCCGCTGTTATTTGCGCGCCACGGCTTCTGTGTCCGGGGATGCGCTTTTGGTTGATCCAGTTTCCCTTCTTCCCTGTTCGTAGGTGCGGGTCTCCCAGGTCGTCCGCAGGGTTATGAAGGCTAGCCAGCCTGCGGTCTATCTCTGTGCCCATGACGTTCGCAAGTTCGCTGCTCTTGCTGCGGTCTTTGGCAACATGTCCTGGGTTCACATTCAGGCATGGGAATTTTGGCGGTCAAACAAGGTCCAGGCTGCTCGATACCTCGTGAACATTTCTGGGCCTAGTCGGGCCTGTGTAGCTTTGGGTCGGCGGTTGCAGCCAGTTGTCTCGACTTCGAGATGAGGAGGAAGCCCCCAGAAAACCAGCTTTGAATGTAATGAAACGCCATTTTCTGGGTGAGACCCAGAGGCTCCCGGCATCCCTCCCTCCCTCCGGTCGGCAGTTTTTTCGCATGTTTTGACATCCAGCCTCAGAACTGAAGGGTGGATAGCTGGTGGGGGATCTGGGGCTCCCCCTTACCCCTCCCGGGGAGGAGGGAGCTGCACAGACAGCGGCGTGGCGACGTGTGACATCATGCCTGTTTGCTTATTTCTTTTTGGGGAGTTCTAGCCACTTGTTCAGCTTTTGGTAGCAATTTTCACCAGAATAGGGGTTTGTTTTTGGACTCCTACCTTTCTGGGTGGAGTTTCATGTCTGCCATCTACCTGGTCGATGACAGACGTGGAATGCTTCCAACCACACAAAGGTTTCTATAGGCCATTGCTCCCCATGCCTCATCTGAGGGGGCCAGGTTCTGGCTCGTAGTCCCCAACAGGTCCACAGAACTCCATACACATGACTGATGCCATACACAAGAAAATGCAAGATTGAACCAGTGAAGAGCAGAGGTGCCATAGGCACAATCAGAGAGCACTGTATAAACATCAGAGGTCTGCGGCTGTTCAACGTCCTCCCAGCGACTATAAGAAATATTGCCGGAACAACCGTGGACATCTTCAAGAGGAAACTGGACAGTTTTCTAAGAGAAGTTCCGGATCAGCCGGGACCAGACTCTCACAAGTCGAGCCTGGCCTCGGGCCGGGCTTGGGTAGTAGAAGAACTCCCAGAACCCCATCAACCAGGTATGCCAAAGTCTGACATTGGCATAGCAGCCTGGATAGCTCCAGGAAGCCTCCGGGTCTCACCCAGAAAATGGCGTTTCATTACATTCAACGCTGGTTTTATTATGCTTTTTGGTTGATCTGTGAGCAACAAACGCACCTTTCCTGTTAGAGAAGGCCAAATTCTGGTCTTGGCTCCTGGTAGATTTGAGTGGGTGTCGGAAGCTTGGTGCAGTTCTGTATATATTGGTGGTCTGAATGCTTTAGCTACGAGGTGCTAGTGAGTGGCCCATTAGAAAAAAGACTTTACATATATTGCTCGATTTTTATAAACATAAAATATAGTAATGTTAATTTCTACAAAGTTTAGTCAAATAATGAATGTAAATAATAATTTACATAATTATAATGAAATGAAAGTATAATGATAATGAAAGTAAATTTTGACTACAAAGTTGTATTATATATAAAACTTCAAAGACATTTATGATACATTTGGTTAAATTTATATTTTATCCTTGGCCCGGCAGAACTTGTGTTGTGTCGATAAGAAAGGTGTTCTCTCGTGGCCCAACCCTACAGCAGAAAAAGTGTTTTTCCTCAAGAACAGAGCACATAACCTTGCTTCCAGGTATGTACTATATATAAAGAATTACAGCAATATATATTCAGAGATAGAGTTGAACAAGATAATATATCAAATTGTGAACTGAATTTATTTTGAAACTTTAGGCATTTAAGAATGTTGAAGCTATTAGTATTTCGGCAACCATTTGGGCCTATTTCCAGTATTATATTTTCTGTTGGGAGCCCCACAGTCGATGTCGACTCCTTCTGTTGGCTCTTCCAGACATATGGGCTCCCAGAGGTGGACCTCTTCGCGTCAGCATAGTCTCGTCATCTCCCGATTTATGTGGCGCCCTTCCCCCGAAATGGTCGCCTTTCGGTGGGACTAGTCGAGGTGGGGTTACCTGTACCTCTTCCCCTCAGTCCCTTCTTCCTGTTACTTTGGGTCCTGGCTCATTTGCAGACTTATCACAGCAGAGTTGTCGTAGTGGTCCCTTGGTGGTTGGCCCATCTCTTGGTTTTAGGCACTTTTTGCTCGGTGTCTGAACCCAGGGCGTTTTCCGTGGATCTGCCTCTTTCAGCGGATCGGACCGGTCTGGTAGGTGGATGGTTCGGTCTACTCCTCCGCTCTTTGCATCTGGTCTTTTTGACGCAGGTTTATCACACAGGTGGCTTCGTTGATGATGTCCCACCTACGAGCTACGTCTCGGTGACATTATGAAGTGTCTAGGCGATCTTTTCACTGTTTTGTGGCTCTTTGTATGTTTTCTTCTATTTCTGATCGGGTTGTCTTGTCCTTTATAGTATTTCAGGACTGACATTTGATGCCAATTGTTGTCGCCTTGTATCGTGTTGTGCTGACGGAGCTGCTCCAGCTTGCATTCGGGGTGGATGTCACTTTTGCCCTGTTCCGTAAGCTTTCTTGTGCTTTGTTTCACCTTTGGCCTGCTCATGTGCTGCCTGAGTGGTCCTGGTCCTTGGACAGAGTGCGCTCCTTTCTCTGTTCCCCTCGGTTTATTGTGGGCCCCCTTCAGTTCATGATTGTATTTCCAAGGCCCTGTTTCTGCTGGCATTGGCTTCTGGGGGTCGGGATGGTGAACCTCATGCTCTCCTCTGGCGTACGGGTTTCTCCTCCTTCGGTTCTGGTGGTCGGTTTGTTTGGTTGCAACCGTCTTCATCTTTTCAGTCGAAGAAGATGACGGCGGCTTTCTGGAGGGGCCCCTTGGGTCATTGATGCTTGGTTGGTCAGGCCGGGGGTGCATCATGTGTTGTGTCTGGTTGAGGCATATCGTCATCATTTGCGTGCCTCTGCTTCAGTGGCCGGTGACGGGCTTTGGATTAATCCAGTTTCCCTCGTTCCCTGTTCCAGGGCTCGGGTCTCCCAGGTCGTCCGCAGCGTTATTAACCCCTAAACTGCACAAAACGTCATATGAAGTGTGACATTGAGCTCAGTTTTTTAAATTTTCTGAAACTCTTTCAAATGTTGTGTGCGTAATCTACTAGGCAAATACTCCAACTTTGTCTAAATGATTCCAGCACAATTTGAAAAACAAGAAAATAAAAAATAAATATGAAATTGAATATTGAAAATATCAGATTTTGAAATGAACTGCAAAAATATAAAATATCACCAATTGTTCATATCATGTTATCATGCATATGATAGCATATGATCTTCATAATCTTATATTTAGAATATAGGCTTTCAGTATAGTTTACTGTAATTTTTTTTTTTATCAATATGGCATTTGAAATATGCACAGATTTGAACAACAAAAATTTATAACTCCAAACATTTAGAGTTTATGAAAAATTAATTCTATAGGGATTATAGAACAGACAGCTGTGTTCACTGTCCTGCACACACACTTTAAAAAAAAGGTGACACCCTTTATGTCAACACCTGCATCAGAGGAGCTCCAGGATATTTTACAATTCCTCAGTATTGTAGTACAGGTTGATGATAGTGAGTGGTGTCCCAAGGAACATAAAGGTGTAGTGCTTTGGAAAAATAGGTGAGATAACACGAACGTGCCAAGAGAAGTAAAAATTGGATGAGAAAAAGTAGCTCTAGTGTTCACAGTGCAGACAACAACATTCAAGATGGCCACTGGCAAGAAGAAAATAAAACAGAGCTAGATTTTGGGGGTTTTGATGAAGAAAGCATTGATATAAGCAGTCTACACAACAAATTGGCAAAATTAGATATTATAGTGAACTATCATGTAGAAATAATCAGCAAATTGAAAGAAAGTAATGACCACTTAAGTATCAAAGTTTTAGGTCTTGAGGGATTAGTGAAAGACTTATTCAAGAACAAGAATCAATTGGAAACACATTGGAAAGCCTTAGAAGAAGAAAATAAACTCTTAAAAATTGCTTTGGAAGAACTTAAAGCAAATTTAAACTTAAATGACAACAATAGGTTAGGTAAGTAAATCCAACAGGAAATACAGCTTTTGTCAGTACAGATGGAGAAAGTTACACAGGGAATAGAACAGTGCAAGAGAGGTATGCAACTCACCTATGCACAAGTAGCCAAGGAGAAAGAAAAAATAAAAGAAGCAGTAAAGGAAGTCAAACACTGCAGCAACCAGGATAAAACAAAATTTAGGCTGGAAGTCAGAAAGGAACTGACATCAAATCCTAAATTGGTCCAAAACACAGTTGATCGAAGTAAGTCCCTGATAATTTTTGGTTGCAAAGATAAGGAAATAACATCTAGGTCAGAAAGAGCTGTAGAAGAAGAGAAAATAGTAGTAGATAAAATTATTGGCCTCGTGGAAGGTCTTACTACCATTGAAAATACCTGCAACTACTGGAGGATTGGAAAGTACGTAAAAGGGAAAGATCGACCTTTGAGGATCACCCTAAACGGTGCCAAACAGATGGAAGAAGTACTAAGAAATGCAAGAAAATTACAAAGTGATGAGGAAGGGAAAGTGTGGTCATTAAGACGAGATCTTTCAAAAGGAGACAGAAGCTGAAACTGAACCTCGTCGAGGCAAAACATCTAAATGAGAGCAGGGATGAAGACTAGTAAAATGGTACAAAAAGGCAAACCAACAAAATCACTAGTGTGACATAAAAGTGAAAGAATAGAGCAGTGGCTATTCTCACTGGTTGAATGCTAATCACATTAAATAAAAAAAAGTAAAACAAATTAAATTAAAACTGCTTCTGACTTCTTTATAGTGTGAGAGTTGTGGGCCTACCGGGGACCATGAACCACAACCTGGCCCCCCCTCAGAGAGGCATGGGGAGCAATGGCCTATAGAAACCCCCCGTGTGGTTGGAAGCATTCTATGTCTGCCATCGACCAGGTCAGGCATCCAGAAAGGTAAGCATCCCAAAACAACCCCCTATTCTGGTGAAAATTGCTACAAAAAGCAGTTTAACCCTTAAACTGCGCATGGTGTATATATATGCCATGAGTAACATGTCCCACCGTGCGCATGGCCTATATATATGCCATAGGGTGCCAGGCACGATTCAAATGTCCCGCGGTGTAAAGGAGTCACCCATACCGTAGCCAGATTGTAAGCAGATGCCATCTTGAAAAAAAATCTAGTGCAGGCCTCCTTTGTTTCCCAGGCCTTAGTTATTGGCCAGACACCATGGCGAGTGCTTCACGACCCAGCGTCCGACCTCGCTCAGCGCACCTCGCCGAGCAGTCTTTGACCAAAGACGAAATAGCCAAGGAATTGTTCAAAGACTTTGACGAATCTGATATTGACAACTCAGATTTAGATGAGGACTATACACAGTCCGAGGAAATAGAAACCACGGATAGTAAGGGTGAACATGTTGGTGCCACGAGGGTGAGGATGCCACGAGAGTCACCCACTACTACTCAACACCACTTCACGCCCAAGCACATAGTTCATGTGTTCCATTGCAAGTTTATGATATGATCGACGAGTCTGAAACAGGTGAATCATTCTCTGGTTTTAGTGATGTAGAATTGGAGAATAGTTTTGCTACGCCTGCAGTGCCAGTACAAGTTTTGCCACATCAGCTGCCCGCCCTGCTAAGCGCCTCCGCATAGAACAAAATGGCGACAATGAGGAACAAATCCCCTCATCTTCCACTACTTATACCTCATTGACCCTTCCTGCCCCTGCTGTTGTTAGACCTGCTTCAGCTCCTGGTCCCCAGATTCCTCGCTGTGGTGCAGCTGATGGCTCTTGGAAGACTGCAGGTTTATTTGTGTGGAGTGATGGGGAAGATTTTGTTACACAAATTCCCCACTTTGACAATAGAGATGTGGGAATTACAGATCTTTTCCCTGATACTGGTGACGAAATGAGTGAAATGGACTTCTTTGCTGCATGTTTCGATGAGCCGCTCATGGAACATATTGTTCACGAAACGAACAGACGTGCAGCTGATCTCATTGAAGGTGAGGAGGTATCAGAATTTTCACAATTACAGAGTTGGAAAAAAGACGACTGTAGGTGAACTGTATGTGTTTTTTGCCATTTGTATGTTGATGAAACATTGTGTGAAACACGTAATATCCCATTATTGGAGCAAAGACAACGCTGTTCCAACACCATTGTTTGTGAAATATATGTCCCGAGACCGATCTCTGTTACTCCTACAGTGTCTTCATTTTGCAAATAATGCAGATGAGAGACAGGATGATAGGCCTTGGAGAGTGAGGCACATGCTAAATGACCTGATTGGAAAGTTCAGAGATTACTACGTACCAGCTCAGAATCTGGTTATTGATGAATCCCTTGTGCTTTTCAAAGGATGTCTTGCCTTCAAGCAGTATATTCCCTCAAAACACCACCGATTTGGATTGAAATTCTTTGTGCTCTGTGACTGTGAATCAGGAATGGTGTTACACATGATACTTTATTCAGCCACAAATGTAGATATTCCTGCTAATGACGAATATGGCTTCTCAGGTAGTGTGGTGAAGGCACTGCTTGCACCATATCTGAACAAGGGCCACATATTGTACACAGATAACTCTTATACCAGTTCCCTTACTAATCAGGTTCTTGCTTGATAATAAAACTGGAGTGTGTGGCACAGTAAAGCCAAAACGAAGGG